AATCCCTCAAGACTCTTTGCAAAATAAAAAAAAATCATTTTCAGACTGTCATTTGAGAAGTCTGGGAGTTATTAATCAGAAAATCGTCAGAATAACCCAAACAAACCGTGGTTGACTTGAGCCAGAAATAAATTTCTGCTACTGCCCCAAAGGCCAGCAGGTCTTTATGGGATTAAGATTTAAGTAACAATCACAGGCACCTTAGGAAAGTTAGAGAATCTCTTAGTAATTAAAACTCCCCTTTCCTTAGGCCTCTAGAAGTTTCTTTAGTGATTAGACTTGCAGATTAGAAAGAACCTGAGGTGGTCAAAGAACCAAACTCTTATCTACAACTGAAGTATTTTATGTTCTGGGTTTCTAGGAGATATAGATAAAATCTATATCATCCAGTGGTCCCCATGCCCACTGGTATCATCCAGGGTTCCCCATGCCCTTGGTAATAACACAGGCCTTCCTAAGGGAGGTGACACCATGGGTATGTTCAGGTTGCTCTTCATTTTCCTCTCCTAAGCAAGGTGAGATCTCACGGTTTAAGTAAGAAAAGGGCTAGTCCTGGAGAACAATGATCAAGGTGTGCACGGGGCTGGTGAGGCAGGGGTGGATTTACACCAGCAGAGGTTTTACAGACAAGGTCAAAGGAAGGGCATGCCTCTTCCAAGCTTATCATTCCCTTCACTTTCCCATCACGTGTGAGAGCTTTTCCATATGGATGAGCCCCAAACAGAGGCTCTGGACCCCTCACCTCAAAAGCAGGGTGGTTTTTCCTAGAGGCCTCAGAGGGGAAAGAGCCCGAGCCCTTTTCTTTTCATCTCACCCGCCTTTCAGCCCCATGTGCCTTGATTTCAAAGCCTTTCTGAAACAAATGTGCAGCTGAAAGGATAGACTTCAATTATTTCATTTTGCGAAGGTTAAAAAGGTTCTTGTAAATGACTGATGCAAATACTGGAAACCCGGTTAAAACAACTGGATACCAGATGGCAAAGGAAAGTGGTTTACTGTAAAGTGTTACAGAGTAGGAGCTCATTTACAAGAAGCAATTACACAAACAGCCCTAAGTATCCAAGATCACATAAAAGGACGGCTGGGTAGAAGCACAGATCAGCTGTACGTGTGTGATCTCCACCCTCCACTTAGAAACTTCAGCACTGTGATCAGTCACCTTTCCTGTGGCCCCTTCCACTGACCTGGCAAGAAGCAAAGAGCTACACTCTTAGGCAGAGCCCTTTTTAACCATATCCATCACTCAGCTGCTTAGGGGAGTTTCCTAATAAGAGAAATGTAGCAATATAAGGGAAGTCTGCAGCTGCCATCATCAATGTTTGAACTGGAGAACTTGGTTTTTACCTTAGGTTAAGGGAACAGGGGGAAAGCTCTGTACAATCTGGGCTGCCTTCTGCTTCCTCAGCCACTCTTTAAATTGAGAATATATATCATGCACTTTGTTGTGTAGGGTCATCTTAGATCTTCTTTGGCATATACGTAGACAGTCTATGGAATCACAAAAGCAGATTACAAAGCTATAGCTGAGAATTTCTCATTGCGGTTTGTTATTCTGCACTCGGGTTCTGTCTGGTTAGTCACTGTAAGCTGAAGTCCCTGCTTCTGCAAGCCATAACTGCCCCACATTGGACGGGCTGGCCACTTCCCACATGAACCTCATTGCCTTCTAAGCTCTGGGGACATCATGCACCAAGCCCACATTCAGCCCTGTGGCAGGTGGTAACATGCATTTTCCTGGAGATTTTCCACAAACCCTTACACATCTCGGGAGTTCTTCTCCATCAGAGCCCTCTTCTGGGGAAAATACAGTCAGAAAAGAATATAGGTAGCACCTTGTGAAGGAAATATTTTCATCTGAATCAGATTTCCAGGTCCCGGAAATCAGTGATGACTCTTGTGGCCATACAAAATAACCTCATGCCTGCAAATTTCCTTCCTAGAGAAGTTAGGATTAGCAACCAGTCCATACTACTGATGTAAGCCACATTCTCCCACAAGACCCTGGCTAAATAGAAGATATGTCTAGCATTCCTGAAATGGACCTTGCAAGTAAGAGCTGGACTACACCTAAAAACAGATGATGTTCAATTGCTGTTGAAGAGATTTTTTTAAAATGGGTGTATTCATGCAATGGAATATTACTTAGCAAAAAAAAGGAATCTAGCATTAGTTCATGCTACTACATGGATGAACTTGGAAAACACGATGCTAAATGAAAGAAAGCAGTCTCAAAAGGACCATATGTTATATGACTGCATTCATATGAAATGCCTCAAATTGGCACATCATTGGGAGACAGAAGGTAGATCAATGATTGTCAGGGACTGAGGAAAGGAAGAATGAAGGGTGAGTGCTAATGGGTGCAGGACTGTTTTTAGGTGACAAAAAATCCCACCATTAGTTGTGATGGTCAAACAAATTTGAAATGTGAATCCTCTAAAATGCTAAATTTGTGGTATGAAAATTATATCTCAATAATTCAAAAGTTATGTGATGGTTCTGCTTCATGGGTCAAAACCTCCCATCTCCACTTGGAGGGCTAACAGTAAATCATGGTGTCTAATAGGTTTCACACACAAAAAAAACCCTTAAGATATTTTTGGACATATTTAACACTTGAATTAAAACTTATTTAAATCCACATTTTTTTCCTATTTTTTCCTAAAAGGGAGATGTGCACTGGGGAATCAAAAGGCTAGATTAGATTCAAATTTCTGCTCCGCAGTCAGTGGTGCTGGGGTTGGAGGGGTACCGGGGCCCCTAGTCTGCAGGCAGTGACAGTTCACTTTAGCTCTAGAGCTTGGTCAGAACTGAGCCACAGGCTGACTCCAGTTGGATCACCTCAGTCTTCTCATTCCTCTTCCACCTCTCTGAACTCTGGTCCGTTAAGATCCCTGTAGCCTATAGGGGTCATTTCTTCCTTTCCTGAGGCAGCAAAATGAGTGAGAATCCACTGGACTTGCAAGTATGGTCATTCCTTACCAGCTGCAGGAAATAAACCTCCCCGCCTGGGAAATTTCTCCTCACTCCTCAGACCAAGTTCCATCCACTCACTTATTATTTCATTCAACCAGCATTTATTGGGCATTTGCTACATGCCAAGCACTTTTCCAGCTCCTGGAAGTCCAGTCATAAACAAGAGTCAAGATAAAGGACAGGCAAAGCATAAGAAAACACATAGCATGAGTGGTCTACTTCAGATCTGCCCCCAACTCAGTCGACCTTGCCAGCCCTCATTCTTAGAAGCTGAATGATTAGACTGATTTCTCTTTTTCTCTCTGGGACAACTTCTAAGGCTTCTTTTTCTGGCCCTTTTGTCTCTGCAGGTATCTGATGAATGCTACTTTCTCTCCATTTCCAATTGGTTGGAGCCATGTGGCTGGGTTAAGGGATTATAAGTAATTATAAGTGAAGTGTTATGTCCTCCAGCTGCTTATAACAGCAGTTATAATAAAGATCTTGTGTTGACATGCTCAAGCCCCAGAACTGGAGCAGGCTGGATTACTACATTGTTACATTAACGACAGTTCACCTTGAAGAGACTCCCAAAGCAATGAAAGAATCTCCCCGAGTGAGAGATAAACCTCTGTGGTATTAAACCACTACAGTTGTGGGTGTGTTTGTTACAGCAGCACAACCAAGCTTACTCTGACCAATATGCTCACTAAGGAAACAAGCTTTCCAATTATATCAGAGCACTCCAGAATATATTCCCGATATTTCTAGCAGAAGACAAAATCATAGACTATGGCAATTATCTGCCCAAATAAAAGCCTATTAATTAAGCAAGAAAAGATAAGAGTGTAGATTGATTATATTTCATATTAAATTTTGCTTAAATGATATGAGCAATCAGTTACTCACATAGGCAAAACTACAAATTACAAATGTCTTCAGATATCTATAAAATCTTTGACCTTGGCCATTCCAAATGTGCTTTTATTTTGTGAAGTACCAGCGAGAACCCTTGATGAATTCAGGGGGCTTCTTGGAGTGACCCCTTTCTTACAGAATTTTTTTTTAATATAAGCTCCAAAATAGCTTCTGATACCAATGGAAGGGACAACCTTGGGGTGACTATTTAAGTGACCTACAAGGCCAGGCTGTCCTGCATCTTTTTAGGCAACTGTCTGCATTGATTCCAGTCAATAGCCTGTTTTAAGAAAAGCTTGGGCCAGATTTTAAAAAAAAGAAAATTGGCTTTCCCTTGAAAAAACATGATTACCTGACAGCTCCAGTGGGTAAATAATGCACTTTTTAAAAGCCTTTCCAAATAGGTCTTTATCCAGCAAGCTGCTTTTATAATATCCACTTATTCAAAACTCCTTTAAAAATGTCATGGCTTGAAAATGATAGACATCCTATTGGATCTGGGTTTGCTGGGCTTTCTTTCTTTCCTTCTTTCTTTTCTATTTTTTTTTCTCTTTTAAGAAGAAACGCATATTTTTCCCTTTGGTTAGGGAAAAAGTCTTTCTTGAAATATGATCCTCTCAGATAAATAATGGCAATAAAAGCAAATGGAAAGTGGGAAAGGACATGGTTTCTCAGTGCAGTGTGCAGCACTTTCTAATTGGAAAATGCTAAAAGGGAGCTTTCCTTGGAGGCCTCCCATCTGACTTCAGACCAAACACAACAGCGATCTGCCTGTGAGCACTGAGGTCTCTGGTTCCCTTGTTAAAGGGGAAGCTAGCAATGGAAGGAAAATGCTGTGTTCTAACATTGTGCACCAGTGATGATGTTGAATGGGTAGGGTGTACATCATGGTGCAATACAGAAACTGTAGGATAGGATGAGCGGAAGAGACCCAGGGGTCATCTAGTCAACCCCAAATGGAGACTGAGTCTCTTACTATTAGAAGTCTTACTGTGAGCAATGTTTTTCTTTTTTTTTTTTTTTTCAGGTACCAGGAATCGAACTCACGACCTTGTGCTTCCCAGGCAGGCGCTGTGCTGCTGAGCTAAATCCCCAGCCCCTCTATGAGCAATGTTAAGCCTATGTCTTGGACCCTTGTTTGCATGGTCCTCTGCTTGTGTTGAAGAATTCTGTTTCTCCAGTTAAAAGGAAGACTGTGTATCCTCTCCAAGGGCCAGGATTTTGTAAGACATGCATGCACCTGTCACAGGAAGGGCCTTCTGGTTTGCTGATGGCTTGGAAAATCAGAACTTCTGCATTTCAACCATTCTAGGTACTGAGGTCCTGATCACTCATCAAAAATGAGTATTCTGTCTCTGTAAAGAGGCCTTCACTTCCTTACTGAAAGAAATCTAGTGTTTGCACAGTTAGGATTAAGAAACGTATGATAAATTACAATCAATAGTTTGCCAGGCTGATGGTGCCTATGATTTTATTCCATGACTATTTCTTGTACCTCCCTCCTCCTTTCCTTTCATCCCAAACCTACTCTCATATCTTTTCACTTGGGTCTTTTTTTTTCATGTTTTTATTCACATGTAATATATAGGCAGATATGTTCACATACTCTAAGCAATGCTTGAGGAATTTTTCAAATGGAATCCCTCATATAACCAGCACCAGCAATACATACAGGCCACTCAAAGCCTGCTTGGACAACCACTGTTCTGAGATCTATTTTTTTCTGGTTTTTATTTGATTGTAATGAAAACTTCCTCAATATAACTTTTGTATTTAACTTTTTTTCTCACTCTAGCTTGTGTGAATGAGATTTGTCTGTTGCAGCATTTTTAAGTTTATTTCCACCATACCTAGTCTTTTCCGTTTTTTAATTGCTTCTATGTATGCAGTTATTCTTTCCATTTTGAAATCTATTCCTCCCCATTGTGGAGTACAATTATCTGCATCTTTCCAGATGGCACCCCTCATTTGCCCTCCTGCTTTGCCTCCTACATGTTCTTGTTATTTTCTGTCATATTTTCTTTAAGAATCAGACGTGCTAAGCTGACACAGTATGCTACCCCTGGGACATCTCCAGGACCTACACAAGGGACACAACTGGAGCTGACCCCATGCAGGTGAGGGATGGTATGGCCAAGGGCCTGGACTAAAGTGCTTTTGCCAGAGAGGCAGTGGGCACCTGTGATAGTGAACTTTGTCAACGTGGCTATGCCCAGATGTTTGCTTAAGCATCCTTCTAGATGTTTTTGTGAAGATATATATTAGATGAGATTAGCATTTAAATCAATAGACTTTGAATAAAGCAGATTATTCTGTGTAATATAGATGGGCATCATCCAATTGGTTGAAGATCTTCCTGGAAAAAGTCTAATCTCACTCAAGCAAGAAAAATTCTGCCCACAAGCGAGCCTTTGAATTCAGACTACAACTTTTCCTTGGGTCATCAGCTGGATACCTTGCCCTATAGGCTGTGAATTTACTAGCCTTCCCAGTCTCATGAACAAGTTCCTTAAAATGTATCTTTCCTGGGCCTACAGGGGTGGATCAGTGACAGAGCACTACCTAACATGGATCAGGCCTTGGGTTCCAACCCTAGCAGCACACACACACACACACACACACACACACCTGTATCTATAACATCTATAGCTATACCTATATCTACACCTATACCTGTATCTATATCTGTCTTCTCTTTATACACATATACACACACAGACACACACACACACCTATATCTATTTCATCTATATCTATACCTATATCTACACTTATACCTATATCTGTCTTCTCTTTACACACACACACACACACACACACACATGCACACATCTTATTGGTCCTGTCCCTCTAAAGAACCCTGACTAATAGAGTACTTTTCCCCTCTTCTAAATTCAAGGAAGACCTTACAAAATGACCCATTCACCCTTTCCAGCTTAGGTTTTGGTGTTATCCCTATCTCAGCCCTTCAGATACCTAACCAGGCCAAGGGGCAACTTGCAGCCTGCTGTCCTTGATCCGGAGCAGTGGCTTTCAGGGATACTACTCTGCCCCTGCCCCAGATGTTTGGGGAGTCAGGAGCTATTTTTGCTGTTACAAATAGGGATGAGGGAATGCTGTTGGTATCTGATGTGTGGAGACCAGAGACACTGGTAAGTATTCTAAATGCATAACCCAAAGAATTATCCTGTGGCAAAGAATTACCTAACCCCGACTGTCACTAGTACTGAGGGTGGAGAGCGCGGCACTGAAGACAGATTCCAAGGTCTGGAAAGCTTTGAGGGTCACCTGAACTGAGCCATTAAAAGGCAAATCTCTCCTGGGCAGGCACTATTTTAGCCCTTATTACATTGATTCTTTTTAATTATTTACAGAGAGTCACTTCTTAATAAACAACCTGGGAAGTTATTTATTTTAAAATTCTGATATAATGCAGGTATAGTGCAGCCTTTTCTTACTTGTGTGTGATCAATTATTTGTAGCCTTATCTTCTCTTAGTTCCTTTCAAAATTGAGTCTTTTTCCCTCCACAGGCTTGAAAATGGACACCTTTTTCCTAACTTACCAAAATCCAAACCACAAAATATTCATCAGGGTCAGCAAGTCCCCTTGACCAAAGGGATCACGCTACAGACCCTGGGAAAGAGCAGACTGGTGGGCCTCAATAAATGCCAGTTTCCTGTGCTTTGCCACCAACAATAACGAAACATCAAGAAAGCAGAATAAAGGTGTTAATATAGATGTTCTCATTCCTGGCAAATGAAACGCGTTCTAGCAGAGATACCTCCAGATCCCTGCTTGCCATGGGTTCAGGCCGCAGCCCAGCGGGCCCTGCTAAAGATGTTAAGCATTTAACACCTTCTGCCCAAACCTCCACCAAGCACTTGCTAAAGGAGGGCTCTGTATCTCCCGAAGGTCTTTCGGTCATCACCAGGAGCTTTCTTAAGAATCTTCATCTGCTGTATTCTTACGGCACAGCACAAAAATAGAGTAGTAGATAACTCACTAGATTTATTGACTTATTTTTTTGGTTCAGGGTCTCGCTATGCAGTTCTGGCTGGCCTTCAGCTCACTTTGTAGACCAGGCTGGCCTCAAACTCTCAACAAACCTTCTGCCTCAGCCTCCCAAGTGCTGGGATTACAGGAATGTGCCACCATGCCTGGCTTAGACTTTTTTTAAATAAACAAATCGTCTAAGTACAAGTGGTAGTCCTGTAGGATGTTCGTCACAGAGGGCATGCAATGTGTGTAGAAAAGAGAGGTGAGGGGGAAATTTTATTTTATTTTATTATTTTTTTTTTTTTTTGGTTTTTCTCCGGTACCGGGAACCGAACTCACGACCTTGCGCTTGCCAGGCAGGCGCTTTTGCCGCTGAGCTAAACCCCCGGCCCCTGAGGGGGAAATTTTAAAGTGACAGTTTATCAATACTGAGTATCCCCGTGTTAGAGGATACCGTGTTCATTACCAGCAACCAGAGTAGACATAAAAAGGTGGTTCTTCTTATAGGAAACAAAGTTCACAAGGCAACTATGTGAATAGTAATCAAATAAAAATAAATTAGCATGGAAATCCATTAATATCGCTACAGAATACCAGGAAATTAACACTTGGGAAACTGGCACATTCAAATTACAGTGACTACTTGGATAGTATTAAAACAGTTATTTCATTGAGTCACCAGTGAGGAAAAAAAAGCTCAGCTTTTCAACTTGATCTTTTCAGAACTTTCAATGATTAACTAAGTAAATAAAAATTTAAGCAAATTATTTTTATCTCCTTCTGTTATAGTTAAGTAACTGGTTAATTGTTCTAAAGAATTTTGATTCTACAAGCTGCACATGAGAAAGGAAGATAACGGATAAAGACAATCCAGCATTTGGCTTGAATTTCACGAAATCCTATGCAGATGTCCTTAGGTCTTAAGGATCAGGCTGCCTAATTCCAGAGGCATAGCTACGGTGCTCAGAGCTCTTGGTTGTGAATTGCAGTTCAACTGTCCACTGTCCGGGGCAAATCGTTATAATGTCATCCTCTTTTGCCTGAGTAGGTTTTAAAATTATGCAACTGGTTTGTTTCCCGATAACACAAATCATGATACTGGCAAGGAAAATAAGAGGAGATGGAAGAGAGAGAAAATGACGGGTTTATGTTTTGGATTATCCATAAATTCTGTTCATGCATGGACAAGGAAGCAGATAATACAGAGGTGGCAATGAGAGGTTCTTAGCATAGATAGCGATTAGGGGAAAGGCAAAGTGGGAGTATTAGCAGTTGTATTTGAGGAGGGCTGACCATGCTGTGATTCGCCTCGCTGAACTCTGTGAAGGCCATATCTTGAACCAAATCAGCTTTCATAGTGGACCTGATGAAACCTGCTTATTGGCAACTGATATCTCAGAGAAGTCAGAATGGAGTCTACCAGACCTTGTGCACAGCCATGAGTGTTTCACAACATTAGCCAGTATTGTTTCCTCAAAATGACCGATGTCCTCAGGTGGTCCATCTGGAACAGTGCCATCTGGGGCATTCATTGCTCCATACTTCCAACTGGCATAGCACTCCTTTGACAGCCTAATTTCTTTCAAGTCAATTTCTCCAGTTCATCAGGTAAATTAATGTTGTGTCTAGACTTGACTTCAACTCTAGAGAAGTTAGGCCTGGGTTCAGATTCTGCCTCTGCCACCTGCTAGTGATGTGTTCTTCCTCAAGGTGCCTAAGTGTGAGTCTGGCTTCCGCATCATCTGTAAAACGGGCTGAACACTAGCAGATTAACTGAGTGCTTGCTATGTTCCAGGCGCTTTCCCCAGCATACACAGTAAGTGACTGAATTACCATAAGAGCAACTCTAACAGACAGGAACCATTGTTACGCTTTTCTATAAGTAAGGAGACAGAGGCACAGCACCCAGAGGGATCGTGATGGGGCAGGTGCTGGCATCCAGGAAGTCTGGCCAAACCTGTGCTCTCATAAGTATCTTATACTGCCTGAACCACTATGCTCCTCACCAGGGAACTATTCTAACTCACTTCTGCATCGTTGCCACAGTAGCACTCTGAGAAGGAAATGCGTCCGTGCACACCACACACAGCAAAGAATCCACACGTGGCCTTAGTCACTCATGCAATGATCATTGATTGAAAGTTTGTTGTCCAAGGCATGGTTGAAAAATACAGTGAATATTTAAATTAAAAGACACATTGCTATTAACAGCCCCCCCCCCAAAAAATCTTCCCCCTTGCTTCAAACACACGTATCCCACCATTCTCACCAGTTCCTGAAGCAGTTCCGGGAGTCTTATTTTGTGATTATATTTACAAGGTGCTATCAATACTATAGCAAATACTGCTACTGAGCACCAGCCAACAGCAGAAAGCCAGGCTCCTTGAAAGCACGACAGAGTCTTCATCCATTATACTCACCGCATGGGGCCCAGTGTGATTTCTGACTCTTCCCCAGTCAAAATGATTGTGAAAGGTGAACCTTTCAATCAGTTCAGGACACTGAGGCAGCCATGACAGTGCAACTGAAGAAACTCATAAAAGACGACTTCATTCGTGCTCCCCGAAATGGCAAAAAACGATGCGGTAAGTGTGTGGGAAGGGAGGGGGAGTCTTTGGACAGGGGCTAATGGCAGTGTGTTTTTATTGTAATAAATTCTTAAACTTTAAGGATTCACCATATTTTTCAGTCATACCTCCTGTGTTAGACACTGCGCTATGTCTTGAAAAGACATGAGGATTAAAGCCAGTGTCTTCCTGGAGTTTGTAGCCCAGAAATGAAAGAGATCACAGTCAGACAGATATATATTCAACAACAAAACATGTGTGGTGCCATGAGAAAAAACTAAAGCTGGGGACCAAGAGTGACAGTGGTGGGGTGGGGGTGGGTAGGAGGACAGAGGGAAGACGATGCTTCGGGTGGAGGGAAAGGATCTGCAAGGATGGAAACCTTAAGCCACACCCTGACTGGCAGGCAAGGAAGTCATGTGAAGACCTGGTGAGCATTATTATTGTCTTTGTAATAAAATTAATTTTGTGCTAATTTCTTGGTTTAACCACAGAGAGCTCCTGTCACCAGGGCTAGCCAAAGGCATAATTTCTCACACTTTCTCAACATGAACGACAAAAGGAAATAAAAAAAAAAACCAGGAAAATGGAGGCAGAAAAGGCAAAAGCTATTTCAAAAGGTGGAGAAAACCTAGTTCACACAAACTCTGACATTATCCTTAATGGAAAGAGAACATAGCCACCTCTTGGGCTGTGGATTTCTGTAATTCATGAATTCCCTGTAAACAAAAACCACAGCTGGCCACAAGTTTGTTGGTTTCACATGTACTAACACAGTAAACTAAAAGAAAATTTTAAAAAGATTTTTTTTTCATCTTTTTGACATAGGGTTTTACTATGTAATTCAGGCTGGCCTTGAACTCACCTTATAGTCCAGGCTGGCCTCAAACTCACAGTAATCCTCCTGCCTCAGCTTCCCAAGAGCTGGGATTACAGGCATGCACCACCACACTTGGCTTTAAAGAAGGTTTTTATTCTACAAAATCCATGTACAGAGATTTCATTTAAATAATTTTTATATATTATAAAATTATACATAATGCATACCATCATAAAATGATTGTTGCTCAATAATAATTATATAACTGTAATGTTAATTAGAACTAAAAAATTGGTAACTTTTAAATTCAACAATGGTAGGACTCTGGTTAAATACATTGTAATACTCAGGCAAGTGTGAGATCACCCACTTGTAATACCAGCATTCTGGAAGGCTGAGACAGGATGATTGCAAGTTTCAGCCCAACCTGGGCAACTTAGTGAGACCCTGTCTCAACATTTAAAAAATAAATAAATAAAATTTTAAAAGAGCTAGGGATGTAGCTCAAGAAATTGTCAAATACATAGAATAAACTCCATGTAGCCATGAAAGTTCCATTCAAGATGTTATTTTGGATACTTAAAAGTATGTTAGAAAATAATTTGCATGGTGCAATGACTTTTTTATTAGAAACCTAATCCTAGAAGGAAGAATATTCTAGTTCATTGGTTACATTGGTTTCCTACAATTGCTATAAAAAATACCTACAAACGTGGTGATTTAAAACAAAAGAAATGTATTTTTTTCACAGTTCTGAAACCCAAACATTCAACACAGTTTCACTGGGCAAAAATCAAGCAGTGGCTTGGTGGGGGCTGCACTCTCCAGAGAGGTGCAAGGAGAGAATCTGCTTCTGGTTCCTGGTGGCTCCTGCTCCATGGCTGGCTGCTGCATCTCCCTCATCTCTGCTGAAGTCTCCACAATGCTCTCTTTCATGAATCTGATCTCTTCAGCCTCTTACTTCGAAGGACCTGTGACTGAATTTGGGACTTGCTTAGCTAATCCAGCGTAATCTCTGTGTGTCACAGTCTCTACCTTAATCCCATCTGTAGAATCCATTTTCCCTTGAAAGGTGACATTTAGAGGCTACAAAGATTGGACCTTGCAGGACCAATATTTCACCAGCTGTCTACCTAAGCATTAAGAGATATTTTATTTCAGTATGTCTTTCTTGCTCTTTCTTAGTGTAGGTATCTGATTACTTCAGGAAAGATAATTTATTTCAAGTAGAATAAAGTGCAATAGTTATGAGAACTAATTACTATTTCAAAATATGTACTCCTTCTTTGTACACCACCTTGTGAATATTTCTGCCTATAAACCAAAAAGAGAAGAAAAGAAAAAAATAAAACAAGCACCACCATCAAGCTGTGTTTTCCCTTTAGAGTATTAAAAACCTTGTTCAATATTCAAAACTTAAAAGCACAATAAACATAGATGTGTATACTATCCTTGTATTTATTAATAAAATTA